TTGATATGAAGAATGTGAAGTCTGTAATAACACTCCTCCCATCATAATTTATCAGTTAAAAAGTCAAATATTTCAACAAAAGAGATTAAAAAACCCAGTAAAGCTGCTCGCAGTGACACCGATCTCATGTGGTTTGTTGAATTCAGCTAAAAGCTGAACGATTTTACTAAAAAAGAGGGATCAAACCAGACCCACAAGCCTGGAAAACTCATTACTCTTTGAGATCTCCACCGAAAGGCAAGTTAACCTGTCAGGAAGCACTGCTAAACGTCTTCACCGCAAATCTCCAGCTGCAGGTATTAAGCCAAGGATTTAAATGTGACAACCGCGAGTAAAACAAAGGAATAAAGAGATCAAACAGATAGAGAGAAAGACGAAAAGCCACCATTTGCCTTTTCATCACCAGCTTTCTGGATGAAACTGGAACTATTTTGACAACAAAACTGCAAATATCTTTGAAAGAAGACAAAACTAAAAATTCAGACTTAGATATTAAACTCTGACAAGTTTAGATTATATATATTTTTTACAATATTTTAAGACTTTGAAGTTCAGAAATTAATATTAAAACATTCTTTTGTTTAAATTTAGACGAATAGAAGAGAAATATCCTTTATTGTTCCACCTCTGGGAAATTCAGGTATACCTGCAGCAAGATACAGGTAAACCACAAAACAAGGATAAATTTACAACACAGAGAAATAATACTGAACATTTTAAAAAGAAAGTAGCATATTCAGGTGTAAATAAATGTCCAACTGAGTGTATTTGAGTATCAACAGCAGCAAGAAACTGTTTACAACAAAGAATACTGTGCAAAAATGAGCAGGAATGTTATTTGAAATGAAACTACAATCAACAGCAGGGACGTAAACCCTAATCGATACGCCATTGTCTGTCAATGAAAGGAATTTAACTATTTAATCAATTTTCTAGCTGTAAAACAATCCCAATTTAAGTTACGACATCTGAAATAAATACTGATTAAGTCATATTTAACCTCCATGAGACGCATAAATTTATCTTTATGGGTTAAATCCAGCATGGCTTTAGTCAAACACTCCAACTAAATTATCTTATCTGTTTCAAAATATATTAAATCTGAAGCCTAATAAGTTAGACTAGAGAAAGGAGGCCAACATCATTCCTGCATGTCATTCCGCAAACAGAGAACCTGCTGATTAGGAGGTCAGTGTGTTATCACAGAAAACATTCATGTACGCCTCTGCGTTGCTTCACAGCAGCAGCGGTTTCACTAAATTCAGAACTGATAACGAACTCTGTCTGCTCTCATATGCATTTAAATTAAGATGTAAATATTATACCATAATGCTGCAGTTTGGCGTGAGACTTTAGAAGCAGAAAGGATATTTTTCAACACGATGACACATTTTTATGGACAATAAATTGTCCCAGAAATTATTACGATAAACGATAATATTGTTGTTTTGAGACCATTTTCAACAAATAAAAAATATAAAATCTTGCCAGTTGTTTTTCGTCTAGTTTTCAGTGCAAATATCTTAGTTCCCTTAAACACACAAGTAATGTTTCAGTAAGATACACAAGCTTGTTTTAAGTAAATAAATCAATATTTATGTAAAAGTACTGGTCACAATGGCAGATAAATTCACTTATAACAAGACGTTTTTCCCATTTTATAAGTGAGATAATCTAGCACATTTTCACCAACATTAAGGATTTATTGACTTAAAACGAGCTCCAATATCCTGCTGAAATGTTTTTTCTAAGTCTTATTTCAAGTGTACTAAGATATTTGCACTGAAAACCAGACAAACGGACTCGGTAAGATGTTTTTGCAGTGAAATGCGATATGTTCTAAAGAACACTCCACACAATGGAAGCTATGTTAATTATCCAAAATAAAACAAAACAACAAATAAAACAGAATTAAGAACCACACCAAATTGTGCTATGAAGAGTCCGTAAACAGAATATTAGTCAGCAAACTCATTTTAGTTAATCATGCGATTAATTGCTTAATTGCTTGTTCTTTGCAACAGGCTTAGTCACGCATCGCATCATCGCACACAAACCTCAGCATAAGTTCAGCTTCTCCTTGTTTTTCAGAAGAAGCTGAAAACAGTTTGCACACAGAAAGCGCTGCGTGAATTGTCTCAGTGTTCTTGTATGAAGGAAACTAAAGTTGGGCAATGCTGTAATTCTGGCAGAAGTAACCCAAAGCTGCACTGCCTTAAATGGAAAACAGAGCTGGGAGACCTGTGCTTTACTACAGCCTGGTTCTGATTAAGACCAGACTGATCTGCTTGTTCTTGGTGCAGAGCCACAGCCAGTTCCTGTTCGGGGACAAGGCTGTTAACATCGTGGTGTGAGAGCGCCTACGTTGGTCCGTCAGCCTTTCAGACGTTTATATCAGCTCTCAGTTGTATCGGTTCCTGAGGGCTGATGACTACGCTAATCATAACCTCACAAAATACCAGGTCACTCATAATGTCGAGTTTATAAAACTCACAATGGGTATCCATCTGCAGAAATGCACCACTCCCAGTCAAAAAGAACCTTGTGTACGCGCTGCTCAATGTGCTAATGGTGGAGAAAGAAACTCACCGTTCCAGGAAATTATCCAGGATTATTCACCATCATCCATGGTAACTGACCCAGCATTCAAAGCAGGCTCTGTTATCAGGAAAACACTGCAGCATAGCAGAGGTTCTGAGCGGCGCATATACAAGGGTGGTTGACAACATACCGGAGCTTTACATTTATGCATTTTGTAACATTACATCGTATGAACTTTAGTGTATTTTTTGTATTGTAAAGTGAAAGAACAATTATAAATTGATTAATAATTCTTTACAAATAAAATCTAAAATCCAATCAGCCACATCTTTGCTACGCCTCGGTAAAATGTAGCAATGGATCCATGGTAACTGGAGGAGCAACGGAGATCAGGTAGGAGAATCTGTAAGCTTAAAGCTGCAGTATGTAATTTTTATAAAAAATTTGTTTTTTACATATTTGTTAAAACTGTTGTGACAGTTTGAAATAACCTGTGAAAAGATCAATCTCCACCTTTCCTCTGTGCTACTACTGCTGTCTGAGGAAATGAACCAATCAGAGCCAAGAGGCGGGTCTTAGCGCTGACAATCAATGCCGATCAATGTGCTAATGGTGGAGAAACAACCAGTTATAAATGGTCATGCTAACTAGCCTAGCATTCACAACAGGCTTTGTGAACTGCTGCGTAACAGATAGCAAAGAGAAGAAGAGGGTTGTGATTGACAGTGCTAAGACCCGCCTCTTGGCTCTGATTGGTTGTTTGGAGTTAGCACTTGGAGGAGGCGGAAAAGCTGATCTTTTTCACAGATTCTCATTCATACCATCATGTCACAAAATGGTGACAGACTCAACAAATATGTAAAAAAAAATTCTTTTTATGAAAGTTACATGCAGCTTTAGCCAAAACATACACCCCATGGTGGTGGCAGCATCATGCTGTGGGGAGGATTTCCTTCAGAAGGTAAGTGGATTCCTTACTGATGCTGCAGCTAAAAGGATCCCAAGCCGTATGAATCATTGGTTCACTCTGACATATCTACGACTACAGGAAGAACTTCATGTTTTCACAGCCTGAAATCCGTGATCTTCCTGGTGTTTGTTTATTTAACACCATAATCAGGTCAAATTCCCACTTTGTTCACCTCTTTTGAGCTTTACTCTAGCTGGACTGAGTGGTGAGTCACTGAGGTTAGTGTGCACCTCATTAAATTAAAACCCTGAAAAAGACAAATGTTTTGCTTCTTAAATCATGACCAGGGCTGTGTTGTAATTGTGAACATGTTTGCTTGGTGGCATTTAACCCAACAGCAACTTCACTGAAATGAAACGTCAGAGCTGAAATGTTTCCTCCATTGTGATTTATCCTTGTTTGGTTAATTTAACGATGGATATGTCATACTTGTGAGGGATTAGTAAGTAGATTTATCAGAATTAAACACTGTGCTAGCTCACCATAGCAAGATTAATGAAGGCCACTCATCTGTGAAGTTGGGTCAAACAGTCCTGTCCTGTTTTCAAAAGCATGGAGGAAATCAGCAACAACTGGACTAAAGCAGTCAGCAATTCCCTGACTGCTTTAAATTTAATGTAGTAACATTAAATTTAATGTCGGCACATTTTGTTATTAGACACCTTAATAGCAGGTTTGCTCTGTGGGACTTTAGGATTACATTTAGTAGAAGTTTTTTCTGCATCCATAAAACTAATAAACATTTTAATGACTGTATGTATATTTCCTCCTTTTCAGTTTGGTCTTTAAGGTTACTTATTGTTACCAGTAACCAGTAGATAACTATTAAAAATGTGCAATTTTGAGAAAAATCACATTTGTTTCTATAAAAAGGCTTTAAAAAAATAGAAACAGGTTTATAGAAGAGATGTTTCTCTGCTGCCATCTTGTGGAAAGGCGGCAGATTTTCTGTTAAGAAAGCAAGAAAAAATGTTTTGTGTTATTTTTAACATTGCACTTTTTAGTTACTTGCGTTTTGTGAGAAGTCGTTTAATTAACCTTTTTAATTTGCTAATTAACAAGGGAAGGCATGAGATTTAATTTAAATTCCATGGAAAAAGAAAAGAGACTTGTACATATATATGTATTCTTCCAAACTTAACACTTTATTCAATAACTCAGATATCTGACAAATTTGAATCTAGAGAAGTAAAAGTAAAAGTTTTGACAGAAAAATTGTTTTGATTCAAGACTATTTAAAAATTCAAAGTAGATATTTCAAGAAACTCATGGAGAACCAGTAATACAGACTAATAATTAATTATTGCATTACCATATTAATATTTTAAAAACAGGAAAGTGCCACGAAGTTTTAAATATACACAGTTGTTTCGTAAAAGATGTACTTCAGGATTCATACAGATTAAATTTACTGCAGAAGAACGTCAATAGGCTGTTTTACTGCTGCACGCCGCCCTCCTGTCCAGCAGGTGGCGGTAGTGCACAAAACCGTCATTTATTAAACAAAGAAGTGAATCGACATTAGAAGCATGGAGACTCGCTGCAACTGAGGGATTCTTGACCTTTCCAACTTCATACTTTAATCTGGTTTCAGTGAGTTCATTTTTGTTCATTTTAGTCATATCAAAGTCATGTTTTTTTCCTCCATTGACTCTTGAAGAGTGAACGTATCTGGGATGCTAAAACTAATATTAAGCCAAGACGGATTCTCTTTTAGGTTATTGTTGATTATGTGACAGATTTATGTAAGTCTGTACAGTAGGACGACCGTAAATATTTAATATTTACGGGGTTCCTTCACAAACTCAAAGTGTCTCTGAATCTGTTTTCACGCCCTTCATGTCTTATTTATTTTATACAATTTTCATTTGTTTTTCTTTCCGGGGTCAGGAAAGCTGATCAGAATGTCGGGGAGAAAGATTATGGTCCATGCCACATGGGCCATCGGTAAAGTAATCGGGACCAAGATGCAGAAAACTGCTAAAGTGAGAGTGACACGACTGGTGCTAGACCCCAACCTGCTGAAGGTGAATCTGCAGCTAATAGTCTGTGGATGATTCATGTGTGAGAAACAAGAACTTTAAATCTAAAACATGTTCATTAAATCAGCATACAAATAATGTTAGATCTTGAGTGTTGGATGTATAATTTGTCAATTACATGTGTTCTCTATTGCATTTCACTTCTGTTCGGAGGAAGTAAACTGAACATGAATCTGTATTGTAGTTATATTGGCCAGAAACGTATTTGTTTACATCTGGACTGATGAGGTTTTTCTTTGCAATCTTACCTGCCAATTTCAGTTTTGGTGGTTGATGGTTACTTCCTTTTAAGTTTTTAATTGCAAAGTAATGTTATTTCATTGAACTCCTTTGCAAAATTTCTCTAAACAGAATATGTGTGTATCTTTATGCATTTAAAGTTAACTAGTTGCAATTTTTGTGCTTCCTTTATAGTACTACAACAAGAGGAAGACCTACTTTGTCCATGATGCTTTGGAGCAGTGCACTGTGGGAGATATCGTCCTCATCAAGGCTCTGTCTGTGACAAGATCCAAACATGTCAAGCATGAACTTTCTGAGATTGTTTACAAAGTGGGCCGGGTGGTGGATCCGCTGACGGGGAAAAGTGTCGCAGGAACAGAGTTTGTGGAGCCTCTCTCTGACCTGGTTCTAGAAGAGAATATTTCTCTGTCGGATAAACTCAAAGAGCTGAACATCTCAGCTGCCTCTTCTGCAGCTGATTCTCCATCTGTACAAACTCCTACTTCATGATAGAAAACTGTTTTCTTACAAGCCACTCTGTAATGTTTTTGTTTCAAGAGTTAATATTAATAAAAATATAAGTATGTAAACATTATGGGTTCAACAGAAGCATAACTCTAATATTACTTTCAAGAATATAAATTGGATTATTTTGCAATGAAATGAAAATGGGAACACATTCATGCTTTGTGATGCCCTCTGGGTTTCTGGGAGAGATTGAAAATCTAAATTTTAGTACTTAAAAGCCTTAAATGTGCCAAGATTTTAAATAAAACAACAGTTGAACTAAAGGCAAAAATGCCTCTTTGGATTGAAAAGGTTGTAGATCTTTGATGTTTTCTAAAGCACTGGTTCTCAAAACTTCCAGTTTTCAACTTAAAATATCAGTAACTCTTTGTTGTACTGTGGCAACACAATTAGCATCAGGAGCAAATATATTGACCAATATGTGGTTTTTATCTATTGAAATCCCTCTTTAAAAAAAAAATCTTTTACACTATAAAATGAATGTGCTTTTTAATGTTTAGTTTTGGTATTAATAACTTCTCAAGAGGATCTCAAGACCTTTCACATTTTTGTAATGTCAATTTGTGCTGAAAACTTTAGTGTGGCTGATTCATATAAAATATGCACAATAATGTGAATGCATATATTATTGCACTGCAAAAACAAAATTCTATCAAGTATTTTTGTGTAGTTTCTCATGCAATTATCTTAGTAAGACTTAAAATAAGACAAAAATAATTTACAGGTAACTTTTGAGCAATAAATAGGACCTTGTTTTGAGTCAATTATTAATATTGATGAAAAAGTATATGTTTCATTTGCAGATAAATTTATAACAAGACATTTTTCCCCGGTAATAGTGAAATAATCTGCCAATTGAACTAGTTCTTTTTCCATCAATATTAGGGAATTATTTACTTAAAACAAGCTCATATTTCTTGCTAAAAAGTTACTTATAAGTCAGTGCACTTGAAATAAGACAAAATAAGATATTTGCTCTAGAATCTAGACAAAAATTACTTGGCAAGTTTTTGCAGTGTTTTTATACGTAAGATTTCCAGGTGAATGTTTTGGAAATTAAACAAAAATAAAAAATAAATCAAAGCATAAAAGTCGATAGAAAAGCGATATGAGATAAAACTTGCACTTTGTCATCCATGAACAGAATGATTGCGCTGTTTAGCAGCTGTAAACATGTGATTCCTGTGTTTGTGTTTGTAAATCTCGTTTATCATCCTCCACATTGTTCTCAAGCGTTACGTCGCCCAGTCAGCTGCCCAGTAAACAGCCCGGACTGCAGCCTCCGACTCTAACTGCCTTCAGGGAAATATGGCGAGCAGAGTCCTTCAAAGAGTGGCCACCGGCCTTCACTGGAGGAGAGCCGGACTTCAAGCGAACGTCCCGGCAGCCATCACCGCCAGGTCAGAGTTGGGCAGATGCTACCTGCTGATTCAGAGAGGTTTCTTCAAAAAGTTAGCTTGGTTTCAGGAAAAGTTTACACTAATGACAAACTCTGGGATGCTAGGTGGCTAAGCTAACGTAGGGACGTTGGTGCCAACGCAACGTAGCTAGCATTAGCCGCTTAGCTTTAGCGCTAAACTTGCTAACTTTCTGCTAATTATGACCCCGATGAAAAGTGAAAAGTTCGGAACATGGTGCCGTTTGTAATTACGTCTCCGAAGATGGAGCTGTATTTTCTAGTTGATAACACAAAAGAAAGTTAGAAGTGAGGCTGTCACTCCCAAAGTGATTTAACTTCAAGGTCAAAACAGTGAGAGTGCACAGCTTTACAATGCTTTCCTCTCTTTAAAAATTTATTTCTGGTTGATTTGTTCATGAATATTTACAATAATTTAAATGTTGATGGTCTTTGAAGAAATAACATTATCAAAGGATATCAGTACAAAGGTGGTTGTTGGTGGTATTTGTATTTAATTTAGGACTTAAAATCCACATACATTAGTTTTCTAATAAAACTCATTGCATTGACTAACAGTTGCTGCAGGAATAAAGTTGTACACTGTGAGCGGTTGGATTTAAAATATGCATACAAATTAGTATTTATTTTTTTTCACGTTGCCAGCTTGTCATGTCACTTTATTTAGTTTTAAATATTGACATGTCAGATCATGTTGAGCTGTAATCCTGAAGCCATAATCAGCTAATAAAACTTTGCATTCTTTTCCTTAAGATAATGGTTTTATCTGACATTTAAAATTAAACAAAAACTATTAAAGTTTGTGATTGTTACATGTTTAACGTTAAAAAACCTCCAAAGGATGTAAATACTTTTTAAGGCGTTGCATTTCATCAATTCTTAGCTTATAATAGTGAAACATGCACAGAATATAATCTGAACTCAATGAAAGATTGAAATACTCTTAATCTATATTATTAAAATTAGTTGGATGCTTAGGTTGAAGTATTAGAGGATAAAAACAGCAAGTCTATTTATGACTTTCAAGGGTCTGAGAGCTTTTTGGTTGTTAAGCTGATTTTTAATACTGTGCAGCAGAAAAATGCTTAATTTTATTTATTTATTTTTCTATGCAGGGGTTTCTCAGGACTTAAATCTCTTTTTGTGAGAAAAGTTGACCCCAGAAAAGATGCCCACTCTCATCTACTATCCAAGAAAGAAGACAACAATCTCTACAAAATACAATGTACATACTATGGCATTATTTCATGAAATGTAAAGTTTTCATGTTGTCATTTTCACTATTTGTCCACTTATCATTTTATTTATTTTTTCCCCCCTCAAAAGTTCATAACGTTAAACCAGAGTGCCTTGATGCTTACAATGAACTTTGGTAAGAAAAATTTAATCTCTCTCTGTTAATCTCAGGTTTAGTACATTCCTGCACATATCTGTGTTTTTGTCCCCAGTGAAGAAGTATTACCCTCCATCCATGCTGACCCTGAATACCCCTGTGAGCTGGTGGGCACCTGGAACACCTGGTACGGAGAGCAGGATCAGGCAGGTAAGAGGATGCAGCATCTCACACAGTTAATCAGCCCTCTACTTTCATTTACTCAGCTGTCTAGATTAATTGTTTTTCAATTAGAAAGCCCTGTGAAAGTAAAACAATAAAGGTAAAGTTGATTAGTAATTAATCTACACTAATTTCTTACAAAAATTAATGTTTAACTTTTAAGTTGTCTGGGTATTATTAAACATTTGAGGTCTTGAAAAGCTGAGTTAGCTGCATAATACATCAGCCTTGTTGAAATCATGTGACATTTTTGTAAATTTGAGTTTTGTACATCGATTGCTTTCATAACAAGCCGTTGATAAAACATTGAATTATGAGCCAGTGTTTACATTTCAGTTAATAGTTTGGTTATGATTATCAACAATTCAGCCAACAAGATAAAAAATGTACAGGAGACGTGAGGGATTGTCATCACAAATCTTCAGTTTGTTGCTTATGTGTAAAAATAACAAAAACAAGTATGTCTACTGGAGTAAAATGTTTTTTGAATAATGTTTTTTCTAGCACAAGAATCAGGCAAATTTAGCGTATCTTATGTTATTTAAAAACTAAATGCATTCTGAAGGTCTAAAAATATATATTTTTATTTTTATAGTTTTCAGGTGTTGAATCAAAGTGCCTCGCAATAGCATTCAAATCCCTTGAATATTTACATATTTTTGTCACATTACAACCACAAACTTTAAGTATTTTGGGAGGATTTTAAATGACAAACAAAGAAAAATGGAGTGAAATGTTGTGTTCACACTGAATGTGTTTCACACGTCAAAAACGCTTCAAGTTCGACGTGTTTTCACTTTGAATATTTTCAAATGGTAAAAGGTATAATTTACTCGACATTCCAACTTTCTCGCTGATCCTTTTCCAAACGAGGTCCTTTCTATTCCTGTCTCTGTAGTCGTAACTTGATTGATCGTAGATTATAGGACGAGAACAAACAGCGACAATTAGTTTATCCTCGATTATTTTAGTTTTTTCTGAGATTATGATGGAAAATATGCCACTACGTGCTGGTTGATGTTCCGCGATAGTTCAGATTTTCCAACTCCAGCTTTGGACACGTCGAACACTCAGGGGAAAAGGAGTGAAAATGTCGTTTGTAATGTGACAAACAGAATAAGTTGAAAATACTTTTGATAGTTGCGGAGTTTCTCTCCTCCGACACAAACCAGCAGAGTCACAGCTCATATTTTAGTCAACAAACGGGTATGTCTGTCCTGCTGTTTTCCTGGCTCTTGTCCATTTTGTCCTGTGATTATATTTTATTCCTCCTGAACTTTAGTCCGACTCTGTGATGTGAACAGAAGTGTAAAGGATGCAGAAGTTAAACATGAACCACATGTGAACATTAAAGTCCCTTAATGGGGAAAAATAAAGAGGAATAGCAACGACCTTTGGGTTTTTTATGCTTAGTATTTATCTGCATTGTGGTTGTTTTAAATCTGAAGCTGTTGATTTTACAGCTTTATTTTTAAGGATCTGTGTTAATGAGGTGCAACTAGAACTGACTGCAGTTTGGCCCGGAGGAAAACATTTTCCAGAGCTGCATTATTTCTGGCTCTTCTGCTCCTTCTATTCTAGTTCACCTTTGGAGATATCGGGGAGGATACCCAGCTCTCACCGAAGTCATGAACAAACTCAGGCAGAATAAGGTAACAGGGATTAGTTCAGCTCTCTGTACGCTGCTGACCTGAAGGCCATAAAAACAGCCACAGACCAGGTCTTAGTGTCTCTGTGGGTCTCCCACTGTTTCCTGTTTAGCTAAATAAAAAGGATATTTACAGAGTTAGAGAATCAGCCGTATGCTGAATGTTTGGTAAGTATAACATAAAGTCAGTTTCTGTGTTATTCATGTTGTTTTTGGTTACTCTCCAAAAATAGAAACAGGTATGAAAGTATGAAGACCTTTAATATAAGTACTAGGGGTGCACCAATAAAGTCGGCCATGATGTCCTTCATTTTGGGAGATTGGTGATCAGGTCTAAAAATGAACCACTGTCCTCTCCTGCTCTGCTGTGTTAAAGGTTTGACTTTACAGGTCACGTCGGCACATTTGTAATTAACAATAATCACCTCACTGTTGCCAACTTCACAACTTTCTTGCTATATTTAGTGACATTTCAGAACAAAAGAACCAGAATCGGCCAAAATCGGAATCAGCAGATCAGGCTTTTGAAAGATTGGTAATCGGCGATCGGCCAGAAAACTGCAATTGGTGCACCACTACTTATTACTGAAAATAAGTTTATTAAATTGAACCCAAGAGGAACTGAAAACGAGATGCTTTTCTTTTAATACAGCAAACATGGAAAATCTACTACAGCGTGTTAGATCCACTGTAGAAAAACAAAAATGTAGTACATTTCAATTTCTGCCAACAGTTCTGAAATTTTGAGAGTAATCAACATTTCAACCAAAGGTCAGCCAAAATCAGATTTGACCCACGAAGCTTTTTAAAGATCGGTAATCGACCAAAAAACTGCAATCAGTGCACCACCAATAGGAACATTTAGGAATATAATTTATTAGTGATTTTTGTTGAATTGTAATATAATTACGTTGCTGTTTTTTTTTTTGTTTACTTAAAACATTAGAATTTTTTTTTTCTGAACTGATTTTAAATAAATTATCCACACATTTTC